AACTCGCAACATTTACAAAAAGTAATCTAAATGTTTTTCCTTCTGCAAATGTGCCGTCTTCAAACACACAGATAAGTTCTGCATTTCCTTGTGGACAGTGTGAGTTTCACAGCAGGTGAACTGTAAGAGTGAGATGTTTTTTATGTTGTCATTTGTGCTTAGAAATATATAATCGTTTGCATGCTGATCAAAGTCACATCCTTATTAGGTCTGATAAGACTGTGTGAGAGGAAGCAGCCTTGACGTTGTAATTCCATTATAGCTGTTGATACCAGACTGTTCTGTTTCTTGATGTGCAAGACTTCACACCTTTACATGTGTATTTGAGATATGACCTATTGCAACTTCCTGTTTTTATAGTTTAGTAAGACGCTTACTTCTACTACTTCTATGTCTATGTATAGTATGGCTGGAAACACACACACACATGCACCTACACACACAGAATACAGACACTGATGTTGTTCAGATATGACTGTTTGAGAATGTCCTGTGTATTTGTAATTGCATATTCATGAATGATTGCTTGCTGAGAATAACAAGGGCTGTAGCGAAGGAATCAGTTGAAGTTGGCTGAGTTCAGGTGAAGGAATCTTTTCCTCAACTTTGGCTGACTTCCCTCGCGAGCCACAAACACGGAGAGTGCCTTCTTGCCTTGTTTGTCGTGCAGTTGTTGGTCTCGCGTTCCAGCGGGTTTTGTGCCCAGATAAACCCAACATGAAAGCAGACCGATGAAGCTCAGCAGCAGCTTCTTCCAGAATCTTGTTAAAAATCTCAGTTTTCTTGTAGCTTAACATAACTTTAATTAGCTTTCATCCTCCTGTTTGTTAAAACCAGGAGTAATCCACAGCACGGCGAGGAGGCTGGCAGCTCTCCTGTGTGGGCCCCCGCAGGTCCGCCTGGTGGGATGGGAGAGCCTGTAGCACCCAGAGGACGCCCGAGGGTCCTCTAATAGGATTACAGGTGAGTCCGATGGGTTTCCAAAGAGGGAATTAGGCTGTGTTAAAGTCAGAGGCGGGAGCCGCAGGGCAGAGGCCGAAACGCCACCTCTATGTTCTCCTCCATGATGATGTCGAAGCGGCACATCAAAGGCCTGAAGGAGAAAAAAATTTATCTGTTAATACAAACTGTAGCCTTTGAAGTGGACTTATTCTGCTTTTCCTTCATCTCCTGTTCCAGTGCAATATCAAACATGGCCAAAGTGTCAAATAATGTCGGCGTATTTACAGGTAATCCCAGTTTTTTTGTATATATATGTGTACATATATATACATATATATATGTACACATATATATACGTATATATATGTACACATATATATACATATATATATGTACACATATATATATGTATATATATGTACACATATGTAGCCTACGTCTCCTTAAAGCCTACGTCTCCTTAGAGGCGTAGGCTTTGGAGAACAACAGTTTAGTTTTGTTTCCTTTTAGGATGTCATAGGTCAGACTGAGAGAGACACCTCCACATAGATTTTGAGACAGTTTATCTTCTAAGACTGGTTCCTATTCAGAAACACTAAAACTGATCCACCGACCTCTCAGGAAGCTCCAGTGGTGTGAAGCGGACTCGCAGCAGCCGGATTTTGTAGCGAGGCCCGATGACGTTGCCGGTGTTGATTCGTAGGGAGATCTTCTGGATGTGCTGCAGATCCTCATCGAACTGGGCCAGCAGCCGCGTGGAGGTGTACTGCTCAAACCGGAGCAGCTTACTGTGCGCAGAGACGAGGAGACCGTAAGGTTTAACTCATTAATTTAAAGTCTGTATTTGTGTGTTTATGTTGGAAAACAAGAAACAAAAAACTGAAAGATGACTTTTATCTCCTTTGCTAAGATTATCTATCTATCTATCTATCTATCTATCTATCTATCTATCTATCTATCTATCTATCTATCTATCTATCTATCTATCTATCTATCTATCTATCTATCTATCTATCTATGTCATTAAAGTCTTCATTGACTCAGAATTAAAATTTAAAGTCAACTATTTTCCTGCTTTTCATAAATCCAGTCTATGTGAAACAGCAGAAAGACTCACTGGTCTATTCGGGCCTCTGTGACGTTCCTGCCGCTGTGCAGCCGGATGTAGACGACCCCCCAGCGCAGGTACTGGTTCCATGTCACCATGTCCACTCTGTACATCAGCTCTGACACACACGGGACACACACAGCGTTACAATCCAACAAAACACTCAATCATCACTCAATCATCACTCCTTTCTGTTAAAAGGTCCTAAAATATTTTTTCTTAAAAAAGTCCAAGCACATATTGTAGGTGGGGTCCCACAGTGGGGTCAGCATCCACAGAGTCCAAATCCTTCTTTAACTCACGCGCACACACACACACACAAGCACGCACGCACACGCGCACACACACACAAGCACACACAAGCACACACACACACACACACACAAGCACACACACACACACACAAGCACACACACACACACACAAGCACACACACACACACGCACGCACACGCGCACACACACACGCACACACGCACGCACACGCACACACACACACGCACACACACACACACGCACACGCACACGCACACACACACACACGCACACACACACGCACACACACACTGATATGCACACACTGATCCCCCCTCCCTTTCCAAACGCCTTCGATGCTTGTGCCCTACCAGGGAAGATGGCAGTCGACTGGACCAGCGCAGACACGCTGCAGGACCGGATGCGCTGTCTACAGCGGCTCTCTCTTACCCTTTACCCGCCCCTGTTGCTTGTCTCGTGTTTCTATGGTGTATTGATAGTCATGTGCTTTTTGTGCTGAGGTGTTTTTTCTGTTATCAAACTGTTCTCCCACTAGGAGCTCAGTCTGAGTGGAGTTTTTTTCTCCTCCTCTTACCTCATGTTATGTATTTTCGTTTTTTTCCTATCAGCCTACCTTTCTGACATGTCTCCTCAATGTGATGTTTGTGTAAAGTTGGTCAGAAGGTTCCTTTGTAAGTGCGCATGCGCCATTAGCGTGCTGCCTGCTGTAACCCTAATTTCCCTCGGGATTAATAAAGTATTCTGATTCTGATAACCACCAGGGCAAGTCTGTGCTGCAGCTGCGACTCACTATAGGAGGACGTCGCTCCCAGTGTTAGGGGCATTGAACGCATCCATTCTTTTCAAAGTCTGCTTCACCTGAGACGTGAATTTTTATGAGGTTCGTGTGTCATACTTACTCTTGTAGGGCAGCGCGTCGGTGGTGCTGAAGAAGACTTTGGTCTGTCCGAGCTGCTGCAGAGTCTCCCTCCACGGGCTGACGTCATAACCTGCAGGTGAAGGGTACAGGTGTTAAGATCAGGTGCCTGATAGATGTCCAGCATCTTAATGAAACAAATACGAACACTTTCTGTGAGTTACTGGTCGCTAAGTAGCAGGTTATCACTGACGACTAGCTCATCAGCGCCCCCTGATGCACCCCAGCAGACCTGCAGCTAATTTCTGTGAACAGGCTTCTTTAAATCTGCGCTGTTTAAAGCTTCAGAACCAATAGGTGTCGTCACAATGGTGGCTCCATCTTTTATATACAGTCTATTAGTCTGCAGCCAAGATCTAATTCTGTTTTCTCTGAAGCATCACTTAAATTTAGATTCCTTGAAATGCGTGCAGAATCGCACGTAGAGCAAATTTAAACTCAGATGAACTTTCCTGATTGAGACGATGGAAAACTTGCTCACTTATTAAGCCAAGTTCTGGATTAACGGGATTAATTGCAGAGTATTTATCTGCAGGGGAAGAACAGCTTTTGTAAACATTATGTAGCAGGAGATTGATTATTTTCTTAATCGTTTCCCTCTCACGGTCATTCAGTGTCAGCACCCACCGAGTATGGGGCAGGAGGCCGGTTTGAAGGTCTCGCACTGCAGACAGCGGGCGTCCAGGAAGTCGCTGTAGGACGAGCAGGGGTAACCGGTGAGGGTGCAGGTTCGGTTCAGAGCGCACAGGAACAGGAAGACGGAGCGCTGATGGTCACACACAAAGTAAGATTTACCTGGAGGACAGAGATCACACTGCGCTCAGCACATGTGTGTTATTTAATGTGTGTGTGTGTCTCCCTAGTTTGTGTGTGGGCTCACCTGAAAAGATGGTTTTGGGACACCCCGGCTGGTCGGCGCCTCCGTTGGCGTAGAAGTCAATGTGGCCATGAGCTCCTCTCAGTCCAAAGGCTGCGCACGGAGAGCACAGCGTGTAACACAGCGACTCTTACATGAGGTCACGAAGGTTTATTGCTTTTTAATAAATACTTTCTAGGTTCATAGAAAGGTAAGACGTGTTAAATAATAACTAGAATTAATTAAAATTATATTAACATTTTCATTCAGTTATATAACTATATTTATATAACTTGCTACTAATAATTTAAGAAGAAAACAATGTTTATAAACAGAATTATCTCTACTTCTAATGCCAACCCTTTTTTATTAAAAAAAATGTGGAATATTTCCAAATAACAGTAATAATAATAGTAATTCATAATAATATTCATGCTTTTAGTTTATGTAAAAGCATATTAATACAAATAAGTAAAATATAATTAAATATATGTCTGAATAATTTATGATCAGTAAATACATGTATTCATCTATAAATAAAATGATTTATTGTAAAAGAAGGAAAGAGATTTGAATGATTTACCAGCTAATAACGTAAAAACATTTTTAGGGATGTGGGTCTGATCAATAGAAGATCCTATTAGAGCTGCTGTGACCTCACAGGCAACACTAGTGTTTGTAAATTAACAGATTTTGTTTATTGTTCCTCACACCATGACAACTAAAAGCTATTTATTTTCCAGTTGCTTTCTTTGTGTGTAAATGATCAAAGTAAAAAGGGTCAATATTAAAATGATATTAAATCACTATTTAAATTATTATTAATTCTGCGTTAGATGCTTACAGTTCATGTCGGTGTGAAGGACGTCCACAAACATGGCGTCCGAGGGGTCCAGCCTCTCCTCCGGCGTGGCCCTGGTGAACATCGGTCCAGCAGGGTCCAGACCTGGAGAAGAGGAAGGAAAGAAGGGAGGAAGGAAAGAAGCAAGGAGGTATGTGAGTGCTTTTGTAGTTTTCCGCCTGCTCACTCCACAGCGCTGCTTTCATTAAACTGAAAGGTTAAGAACATCTGTCATAAATACATGATAATGAAGTACATTTACTCGCATACTGCACCGCTCTGAGTACTTTATTTTACCTGTGATACGGCCAATCTTCCCCTTCAGGTTTGCTCCCACAAAACCAGCCAGGTGAGCTCCCAGACTGACACCGATCAGGTGAACTGAGCTCAGAGAGGCTCCTTCAGCCTGTGGGCACAAAAGCTCAGCGTTACAGGTGAGGTATAACTCTGTCATAAAGACCTTTTAAGTATACAGGATAATAAAGGACATGACAGAACTGCTGATTTTCACACAGACATGTCTTCTAATCTCTTTACTAAAATTTAATGTGCCCACACAGTGGCGGAAATACCAAAAGCACCAAAACTTAGATCCATTCTTAAGTACTTGAAGGACCTGTAACCTGGGAAATATTTAATACTTGTCATTTAAAAACATCTGTAGACTGGCTGAACTGGTAATTCTAGGCTTTGAGCCGGACTTCTTGGGTAGAGAAATGGATTTGGTGCCATTTAGAGCATTTTAATGTATGTTTCTGATAAATAACACATTAGTTGAATGAACAATCTGTCCAAAGTTTGTAAAGTTTTATGTATTCTGCTTTGTGTCTTTGCATTGCATTGGTACACTTTGCCAACTGAGACTACTAGAAACAACTTGAACCATGGCCACTGCTGGCTCTAATAATCCTAGATGGTGAGAACCGTGAAGCTAAAGTGGACATTCATATCTCAAACCTATGAGTGATGCTGCTTCTATTGGTCTATTGGTTCAACAATAGACTGCAGGATGATTACAGGAAGGGAAAATAAAGGTCTGGGCTGAAGGTCTGTCTCACCTCCATCGTCATGATGAAGCCCGTCAGGTTGAGAGCGGCCTCTCTGGTGTAACTCACAGCAGTGAAGTAGTTGAGGTTGGCTGCCCCTTTGTTCCAGTCCACCACGATGATGTTCATGTCTTCCTGCTCTGCTAGCAGGTGGACTATGTGGTTAATCCAGATAGGGGGCGCGCCGGTGGGCCGGTAGCCATGGATGACAAAGGCGGTGGGACGGGAGAGGCTGAAGAGTGGCTGGGAGGACAGGTGGTGGTGGTTCAGTTCGCGGCCACAGTCGAGGTTGGAGCGAGTGTAGAGCAGGAGCCGCACATACAGGGTGGTTCCCACGAAGCAGTGGGTCAGGTCGAGGTCGGTGAAGTTATCACAAGATTCGCCTGCTTCACTTTCCTCCTGGCCTGGAGTCACAACATGGAAGATCAGGAAGTTGTATTGCAAACTCAACTTTTACAGCTGAATTCAGGTTTTATGTAGAATTAAAATGAAAAACGGGTCCAAAGTTTCTACAGGCTACAGTGGGAATATTTGTTTCATCCATTTCAGTTTAGTAGATTTTTATATTGTTTTAAAGCTAAGGCACTAAAAAATTTCAAGGTAAAGAGTCAATGATACTAATGAGCCCCAACAATCAGTCTGACTTCTGTAGACCGCAGCTCTACAGGAATACCACTTTTTGTAGCTAAATAACAGCTTCAAGCAGACAGCCAGTGTCATCATCCTGGATGATTCACAAACTGAATCATAGATTCAGGCTGACATTAGAGGCACAATCCACAGACAGACAGTAACAGGTTCAAAAACTGAAACTGCAGCAGTTTGAAAGTCATTTCATTTTTTAGCTTCTTCACATTACTTTGGATTGTGTTAAATGAAAAATAAAGACTATTAATGACTCATTTTATGTTATTATGTAATAAATGGTTTTGAATTCAGATAATAGCCTATCTACTGACAGGTTTGCTAGTTAGAGTTAATTAATTAATTAAAAGTAAGATTTAGTTAGTTAGCTTAAGCTAACTAGCTTAAGCCAAAATACTGTCATCAGCAGTGTTGTTTCATTTTACACACTCGTCCCTCTACAAATAAACCATAAAATAAAAAACATCTCAAACTGCTTGCTAAAACTAATGATTAATGTTGTGTTGCGGTCTACGTCTTAAATTAACATTAGCTACATGCTAAAGCTAGAAACATTTTCTTCTGCAAATATGATATAAAGTTGAGTTTAAAGATGGCCTGTTATGTTTTTCCTCATTTAATTTACACAAATAATCCCCAGTCTAAATGTACTGCTTCACACAGAGGGGACAGCCTTAGGCACAGAAGCCCCACCCATCTGATGCTTGAACCTTCTGATTAAAAGGGGCTTCCAATCACAGTGAGGGACGGAATAAATTCCTCGTTTCAGACAGACACAGGATGAATTGAGGGGCTACACTCAGGTCCAATATGAGATAAATTAGGATTATTTTGCTCTCTGAACTTTGCAATACTATTGTAGATATATTTGTATATTTTATCTTTTTTGAATTGGGACTGCTCATATGTATATAGTGCCGCAGAACTGTGCACCTTACCGCCCCTCTCTTTTCCCACGTCTGCGCGTCTCATCGTACATGTGCATGTTGACAATAAAAGGTATTCTATTCTATTCTATTCTATTCTATTCTATTCTAGTAAAGCTAAAAATGAGCTTAATGTCCACTTTAAACCCACACCTGATGGCAAGTGTTGTCTTGCGTGCCCTAGCTTATGTATTGCTAATTTCTTGACACATTTTCTGTCACTGGACTGATGCAATGACTGATATTTGTCCCCTACAAATATAAGAAGCATTTATTGACCCATGCAGGCAGCTCAAAATAAAACAACAGAGTGTAAATTTGGCTGTTGTTAGCCACCTTGTTTTTTTTTGTTTTCTTTTAAGCACCCGGCTGTGAGAGAATGTTCTCATGACCAGGTCAAAGGTCATTAGATTAGTTTACAGTTCAGTGCACCTGTAAGCGCTTGGATCAGGTCTGTTTTTCCGATAGTGACGCTGGGTGTTAGTTTAGCCTCTTTAGCTCTGTGCTGATTAATCTCAGATAGCAGGGAGTCTCGTTAGCTTGTTTAAAGTGTCTGTAGCCTGCATGTTGTCAACTATACAGACTGTGAAGCACTTAGTGTAACTGGGTTATAACCATGCTTATTATTAAAAGGTTTGTTGTTTGTGAGCCCTTTCCTCTAAAGACACTCATTCATGATTATCACCATCCTAATACAGAGGCTTAAGAAACCCAGTAGAGCGTTTTTAATTAAATTAGGAGAAATAAGTGAATACTTGTGAGTCAATCTGGGCTGCACCTTTACAGTTTTTGCAATCTCAGAGCTCTCTACAATCTGCCCAAACAGGATATTTTTAACGTGGGAGTTTGTGGGGCTTGACTCGTGTTTTGGAGCCAGCCTCTGGTGGACATTAGAAGCATTGCAGTTTTTGGTAACAGTTCCCCAATTTACAACAGCAATAATCATGTTCACAGCCTTGTAGAAAACCAGGTTTCAGTTCCTTCCATCACCTGCACATGGGGTGAATCTTATTATAATACACCCATCTGGATACTGGAATTAGGGGCACCTGGATTGACAGGTGTCTTGACGCTGGAAGCTTTACCTGTTAACTGTTTGCTAAGCCTCACCTTTGCTGACTTGACCTCTGCACAGTGTTTGTGCTGCAAAAAGCCTGCACGAAGTCATCTCAGACTCAGTTAGCGTGCTAAATGTTAGACTTCATGACAGCACAATTAGAACAGACTGATCAAGTATAGAAATTATTTGAAAGAGTTGCCAGGAGAAAGGCTCTTCTCTCTAAAAAGAACGTGACAGTGCAGCTTAGGTTTGCAAAACTGGAGATGTTTGACCATAATGCACAGCACCACATTTGGAGAAAACCAATCATCACAAGCGCCTCATACCAGCTGTCAGCACGTAGGTGGAGGGCTGATGATTTGGGCACCGTGCAGTCAACCATGAACTCCTCTGTATACCAAAGTATTCTAGTCAAATGTAAGGCCATCTGTCTGACAGTCAAAGCTTGGCTGAAACTGGGTCATGCAACAGAGCAATGATCGCCAGCACAGCAGCACATCTACAACAGAGTGGCTGAAAAAGGAAAGAATAAAAGTGCTAAAGAGGTCCTAAAGAGAGCTGTGCATAGATGAATGTCCACAAACCTCAATCAACTGAAAAAACATTGTAAAGACTCCACAATCATGTGAGGCTAATAAAGCCAAACAGAAAACAGTTCATTCATATAGATTTATTACAGCTCTGCAACTGTGTCCATCTTTTATATACAGTCCAGATCAGTGTGCGTTATGAGTTGGGGGTTTGACTCCCTGTGTGAGCAGCTCTCCACACCTGAGCGCAACACTGCCCTCAATTGGATCAGGCTGCTATAAAAAAGCACTCATCCAATCAGCACCCACCCCACCCGGAACACACACACACACACACACGCACACACACACACACACACACACACACACACACACATTAGTAAACTATATCAATGAGTGGATAACAGGCTGCTTATTGACTTTAACACCACCAGACGGAAACTCCTCACTGGAGCAGAGTCGGTGTTCACTTCTGTTCCTCACACTTCAATGAACTCTTTCTCACTCCACAAACACTCAGAATGTCTGTTTCTGTTTATTTAGACAAACAGACACAATTATTTTTAACTTTATCTTGAAGATAAAGCTGAGCATAAATCAGGTTTAAGCTTTTGCTCTGTCGGAAAACTGGACTTTTCTTACCTTTGCAGAGCACAAGGAGCCCCAGCAGAGCCAGGAGCTTGCGGGACAGCATCCTTCTCATGACCACAGTGACGCAGAGACAACGATCAAGCCGAGGAGACTCGCTGTGAGGAAGGTACGAGATCTAAATGCAGTGTGAGGACAACTGAAAGGAGGAGGGACTGCTGAGAGAGAGAATAGGGGAGGGAGGGAGGAGAGAGGAAAGGAGGTGGTGTCTTTACTTGGATCAGTTTCTAGAAGAGTGGAGAGAGGAAAAAACCAATGATCGTAAGAACACTAAACAAATGAGATAAAGGGAAGGAGCATGAGCTGATGGAATGAGGAAAGAAAGGGCAGAGGAAGGAGGATTTGATTTGTGGTGAAAGGAAAATAAAATCATGTAATGTGATTTAAAAACGGTGAAAGCTTCAGAGCTTCAGGGCAGACGATCACTTCATAATCCAGGAATTAAATTTTACAAAACCTGACACCTCCTTTAATGTTTAGCACAATGAGCTAAAATGTCCCTTTTTTTTTATATTTCTTTCAGTTAATAGAGTGAATAGAATAGAGAATCTCGCTTCCCAAGGGTGAAAAACATGGAAATCAATGATTCCAGAGGTGAAACAGCTGTTTCACCAAAATCATTTTCATTATATGTAAATAATTATTTGCATATATTTATACCTGCTGCACTAAACCAAACAATTGATGCTCCTGACTGAAACTCTGGGGTTAAGAAGTTATTGTGGAGATGAAAAGAAGTCAAGACGTTTTTCTTCCTCTCAAAGAAAAACTTTAACAAACTTTTCAGTTTTTAAAAAACTTGCTCCTGAATGGATCCAGATGCCGTCCAGGAGAACAAGTCCACTTCCTGTTAATTCCAAAAAGTTGATTCTGTTCATCTGGATGTAGCGTTTTTATGGGAGGAACATTTTGACTTCTTCAGTCTCAGCTGACTGCCGGCTTCCAACCTTATAAACATTACCTTTGCACAATGACTGAAAACAGCCCACTGAAACGTTTCTCCCACTGATCGCTACATCCAGATGAACAGAATCAAGTTTTGGGATTTACTTACCCGGATGATTGAGCATGCACTTCCTGTTAACTTTGTTGTACAGAAACTGGCTGCCATTCAGACAAGAGCACAGCAGGGGGCGCTTGTGAGATAGTCCCAAATGAATGGGAGTGAATGCAGCTAAAGGTGAAAGTGCTTAAGCCTGCTGTCACACCCATAGTGGGCGGATCTGCATGTCTCATTTAGCACAGACGCCCTTCCTCACGCAGCGTTCCCATTTATCCAGGTCTGTGACCGGTGCTTGCAGCACACGTGACTTATGACCCCCCATGTTGGCGCATCTCCTCTCAGAATCGAGTGAATGGACCTAAATTGCCAACATCATGATTAAGACTTGCCTCTGGGTGTCCACGGCGCTGGCGTGCGTTTTTACAAGAAAAAACACAAAACAATGACAAGAGTTTACAGAAGAAAAGTTAATAGGATCTTCATTCCTTCTGATCTCAAACACTCCCCCAATGAAACAGGAAGTTGTTCGCCATAATTATCCAGGTCACGTCTGTCCATGTGACCACTCAGACAGGCTTTGTTTGTGTGCAATGTTCCTCTTCTTCAGCCTAAACATCATTACATCCTCTTACTATACAAACAGCAAAGTGATCCTGAGGGAATCATAAAGTCTCAAGGACACAGTGTTTATGTTTTTCAAGAGATGAACTGATCAAAGGAGTAAACTAGAAGCGCTCCACAGTCAGGATGTGAGCTTCGTTTCTCCAAAAGCAGCCCTCAGATCTCTTTCTATGTGACCCTAAACAAATCCTTTCTTTCCCTTTCATTTTCATGCCTCTCTGTAAGAAAGGGTAGAAGTGTTTGTGTGATGATCTACTGTAAAAAAGAAATAAAGAATAAAAAGACCAAGCAGGCGGAGTTTAGCCTCTCAGTGTGGGTTTTATGTTGTGTCTGCAGATTTGAAGTTTCAAAGACAAATTTTGCAGCTCGTGCAGAAGGTTGAGCCTGTTGTGTTGCAAATTACCCTGCCAGCGAGGTGACCCACTGATTAGTGAGGGATGATTATGGGTGAAGTCGGAGACACCCACCCAGTGATGGGTAATAATAGCTCCACAGACTCTGACCACAGTGCACCCAGCCCATCCTGCTCTGTACTCGACATAAACACATGTAATTTACCATCTACAGAGAGCCGAGGCCCAGAAGCAGCAGGGGACTCGGGACAGGCAGAAGCAGAGAGCTACAGTAACGTCAGAGCTAAAATCATGCAATTAGTGGTGGAAACAGGAGCCTGCTTTACTGTTTAAATGCATGCAGTATGCGTAGAGAGTTTAATTAAACTGTTTCTAATCTAAGCAAGGGTTACATTCACAATTTTACTGGCACCACGAGATTTCAGTCATGAATGAAAAATCGTACAGATTTGCTCTGTACTTGCCCTTTCAGAACTGCAAACAGGTTTTGCAAGATGGCTGCGCACGTAGTTGCAGCAGCTCAGTGTCCCACCGATCGATGCCATGTTTGGATAATTCTGTGTAGAAAAGGTGACAAGCTTCCTGGGAGCCAACACAGAGGAGAACCTTTCCTGGAGTGCGAACACCTCCGAGCTGCTGAAAAAGGCCCAACAGAGACTTCCTGAGAATTCTCGGGAGGAATAAATTCACACAGAGACTGCTGGTGTCCTTCTACAGAGACACCATTGAGAGTGTTCTAACCTACTGCATATGCATCTGGTGCCTTAGCTGCACAGTGGCTCAGATGTCAAACATCTTATCAGAGTCGGGAGTGCAGGTAAAAATAATAAGAAAAACAAAACCAGGAAATAAAACTATTTGTAACCACTGCACTCAAATTTTGAAAGTAAATTCAGAGAGTTTCTAATCTTTCTTTGCCTCTTGCAGTTATTGTTCGAACACTGAAACCATTTCACTCACCTACGCAAAGTTACTGATGGTCGAAACAAAGGCGAGGGGGGTTCAATTGAAACCGCAGATGGGCACAATTTAGCCTCAGACCACCGATGTTCTAAAAGTAGAACTGAAAAACCTACAAAAATCTGTTATTCTCTACATGGTTTGTGCAGCAGTCTGCACTGCTGGTCTCTGTCCTGCAGTCTCGATGGTTCTCCACCTGCTGCAGCGTCTGGTTTGACTGAAGCACGTCTGCTGCAGAACAAAGACTTCCATCCTCAGCTGCAGTCAGTCTGTCAAACAGTGGTGTTTAAACGGCACACTGGTTTTCAGTGGCTGAATTTTCAGAATAAGAGATTTGGGATCGTCCAATAGTAAACCCTAAAAATGTACCTGTGCGGCCTGCAAAGTACATTTTATGTGGGAAAAGCTGCATATATACAATAAAGAGTGTGTGTTGTTTCTATTTAGTTTGTGTCTAAGTCAGTCCGGCCCACAACCCTGATGATGTCACTACTCTGTAGCTTCTTAACTGTGACATCAAAAACAAAAAAACCAACTTGTGTGCTACTCGATTAAGTTGTTTAACGTCTTTGTTTGAGTTTTTAAAAGTCACCACTGCTTCAACAACCTTCCATCCAACATTCACGCTCACATTCCCTCCTACAGCCAATTTATAATCTCCAATTGACCTTACGTGCATGTCTATGGACTGTGGGAGGAAGCCAGAGTACTTAGAGAGGGCATGCAAACACAAAAAGATCCTGGAATCAAACCCAGAACCTTCTTGCTGTAAGTCAGCAGTGTGACCACTTTGCTTTCATGCAGCTGCATCAGTTAGAAAAATCAAAATAATTCTGTTTTATTGAGCTTTCATTCTCTGCAAGTTTGTCTTCCCTGATTAAATCCTGCAAGTTTTTCATCTAAATGTTAGCAGAGCCTGTGTGTGTGTGTGTGTGTTCCATCCATTCACTGTGGGTCTTTTAGGGGGTCTCTGCAGACCAGACTGAGCACTGATTGGCTGGTGAGCACCCAGGTAAAAAGGTCCCTGTGGGGTCACGATGTTCTGATGAGTTAAAGAGCTTATCTCATCGGTCACCTGACTTGACAAGGCAAAGAGGCTGAAGAGGATCTGGTCAGAGAGATTATAAAATCAGCGATGAGCGAGCAGGCTTCAGGATTTCTTCACTAGTAAACGGCTTAACGCAGCCTCAGCGGTCAGTTATCACACAGAGAAGATATTTCTGTGAAGTCTCAGATTCATGTAATTCAGTCTAAATTCAATAATGGCATTGTAAAGCGCTTTGGGTGCCTTGAAAAAGCGCTATATAAATCCAATCCATTATTATTATTATTATAATGTGTTAGGGAGTTTTTATTGTTTTATTTGATTATGCTTCAAATGTTATGTTATGTCTGTTTGTGTTCAGATACTTTGGAGATTCTTTTAAGTTTGCATGAGCACCTGGTGAGGCTCTTTGGTCTGTTTCTCAAACCATATGACTGTTAACATATGTGGTAAGTATCACTGCCCACTAATGTTAGCTGGCATTTTTATACTATATTTAGTAAATTATTTTTCATTTTTCATTTTAATTTATTGATTTTGAGCTATATTACTTCCTAAAGCTGCTTTTTTTTTTAGAATTTATCATTATTTATTTTATTTTTTCTGTTGATTTAAGCTCCTTTCTTTCATCTATTTGTCAGTGTGTGGAAGCCTAAGAAAGACTGAAATTAAAATCAAGTTTATCAGGAAGACAAGGTCTCCTGTAAAGCTGCTTGTGACCCGACCGGGCCCCATGGACTAAGGCCCGGCCACCAGACACTCGCCCTCGGGCACCCTCCCCAGGCCTGGCTCCAGGGCAGGGCCCCGGTAACCCTATCCCGGGCAGGGTAAACTGTTCCCTCGATGTTCTCTTCATACGGGTCTTCTGAATCGCTCTTTGTCTGGTCCCTCACCCAGGACCAATTTGCCATGGGAGACCCTACCAGGGGGCAAAGGTCCCCAGACAACATATCCCCTGGGATCCCTGGGACACACAAACCCCTCCACCACGATAAGGTAGCGATTCACGGTGAGGTCTAATAATTATTACTTAATATAATCAATTAAAAATATTAATTTTTAAATTAAAACAAATCTTATTTTCTAGATTTTAAAGTTTCAGTTTTTAATGTCCCCTATAAGTACTAATTAAACATCTATAAAATTGCAGTGTTACTCTGTAGAAAAGAACATATAATGGAATTTGTGAAGTAAATTCAAAGTACCCCAGGTTTGTACTTTGGTAGCATGTTCAGAATAATAATACTGGCTTTATAATCTGAAGGTAGGGTCAGCTGACTCGAAGGAGCTGGATGTTCTATTATTGGAATCTTCAGCTAATCTGTGCCTCCTGCTCAGATTATCACATTGTAACCACTGAACCGGGGCATATTCATGTCGCTGTTAGAGTATTATGTAACGGTAATGGGATGTCTCATTGTGGATCCGTTCTCTGGCACCGTGAGCGCGGGAGATTCCCTCGCCAAATCTGAGCCGGTGTCATAACATCTTGACGGCTTGAGCTGCAGCAATGAAGTGAGGCAGAACCTGAACCTGTTTGCTTTTAAAACTATGATCAACTTCATTAAAACCAACTTGCATAATATTGTTAAATTGCCTTAGTGCTGCCAAATCAGCTGTGATTTACTGAGGCACAGATTTTGGCTGATGTCAGGATGGGATCCATCCTGACGGATTGGGCTGCTTCATCCAGCGGGTACTTGGGCAGAAACGGGTAAATATCTGAAAAATGGTGGAGGACACAGACTGCTAGCCTGCCTCCACTCCAGGATGTTATGCTACACGCCATCAAAGCAGACTGTTTGAGACTGTGAGTGATCCAGAGACCAGAGCTTTACTTCCTCTGGATATTCCTTTCTGTCTCCAGGGTGTTTCATTGTCATCTTGGGTCAAGCAGAAAAAGAAAAACACTCAAATGTCTTAGTGGCAACAAATCAATTGAAATGAGTGTAATAAACAGTAACATGCTTATATGGCTTTATCATAGATGACCTGTTCCGACAAAATCTGAAGGTGAAGCTCTGAATAAAACAGAGGAAAAGTTTTATGCTTCGTGCAGTACATTAACACAGCGTCCCCAACCCCCGGGCCTCGGACCGGTACCGGGCCGCGAGAGTTGAGGCTCAGGTGTGAAATGTGTGGTTTTCAGGGTTTTTATCGGTTTTCAGCGTTATTTTGTTATCGCTTTGGTCGTTAACTCGGTTTTCCTGGGTCTTTTCACGTGTGTTATGAATAAATCGTCTTTTTTTTTCGGTACCGGTACTAGTTTTATTTTGTTGTATTTATCCGCGACACATTAAAGGCCGGTCCGTGAAAATACTGTCGGGCATAAACCGGTCCGTGGCGCAAAAAAGGTTGGAGACCGCTGCATTAACACATCTGTCCAAAGTGACGTGGTGCTTGGCGGGAACCAAAATTCAGACATTCCACAAATACAAACACTGGGTGTGACATCACTTATTTACACTTTACAGTTAGTGCAACAGTGAGAGCGCTGAATGCTCAGACAGGTTTGTTCCTTTGGGTTCTTTCTCTTTCTGTCACGATCCTGGGTCTTATGACCCAGTGTTTTGAGTTTTAGTTCATTTTGATGTTTTAGTTTATGTAAGCCCTTCAGGTTCCTAAGTTCATTTGTTATCATGCTTAAGTGTTTCTAGTTCTTATTATTTCCCCCTGGTGTTTCCAACTATGGTAAATCTCCCCTGCTCTTCATGTGTTTCATGTCTGTGTCTTACATTGTGAAGTTTGGGTTGTCATGTCTACGTCTCATTATGTTTCCTGTTTTATTGTGAAGAGGTCTGGTGTTTCTGTGTTCATCGTGTTCAGTTTTACTCTTCCCCTGTGGCGTTGTTATGTTCATGTTGATCTACTGTGCCTTTCTGTTCCATGTTTCAGATCCCTATGTTCTGTCTCCCCCAGTCTGTTAAGTCCACATGTCTTGAGTTCCGTCAGTGTGTTTCCTGTTTTACTTTCAGTCTGTTCTATGTTAATGTTTCTAGTTTTGCTTCCCTTGCCTCGCCCTGCTTAATTACTCTCAGCTGTGCTCTCCTCCTGTGGCTCATTCCCCCTCGTTATCCCTCAGTGTATTTAAGCCCCATGTTTCTCTTTGTCAGTGTTGCGTCCTCCATCATAGCTGTGTGATTTTTCCCTGTGGCTCCTTGTGCTTTCGTTTTCCCAGTTTAGTTTATTTTGTATTGTTTTTCGTGTCCCACGCCAGCAATAAAGCTGTGTTTTTTGAGTTTACCTTTTGTCTCTGTGAGTTTGCGTTTGGGTCCTACTTTTGCCTGCACACAGCCGTATTGTGACACTTTCACATTCTGGTTTAAACGTAAACTTTTTTATTTTTCCAGAAAGTAGCTGCAGAGTTTTGATGTTTGTGAGGAGCTGAGGCAGCGAGGAAACGGCGACATCCGGGAGTTCTATAGGGACGGGGAAGACCGCGACGGACCGCGCGCTGCTCTTCATGGACAGCAGTGACCGCAGGAATCTCAGCTGTAACGCCACCGTGTTTCCTTCACATGTCGACGCCGCCTTCACCAAAGCGTGGGATACTGACACTTCCCCATTGGCTGCAATCACCTCAAACAGAAAGAACGGGCAGGTACAGACATGTTAAGATCACAGGACATATTATTGTAACTTTATTAGTACAACTTGTTTAAATTGCAGATCACAATAAAACCAAACAGTAAACAGTAAAACTATTAAACCTGATATATGTAAGATTTTATAACACCAATAAATAAAAAATCTAAATAATAAAGTAAAACTAAATAAAACATGCTTGTAACGAAGAAGAATGAAGAAGGATCATTGAGTGCAAGAGGAACTGACCTGAAAGATAGGATCACGGCAAAGCTTGAAACCTGGACCCTCTGTAGCTGGTTACAAGTGAAATATCCTCTGAGGATCTGCTAGATGATGTGGATGCAGCTCTACAGACATTGAGGACGGCTACAAGTACCTGGGAATCCCACAGGCACATCGGAAGAAGCTACTTGCAAAGCTGCAACCGCCAAGTACCTGCAGAGAGTCAGGCAAGTCCTGAGGAGTCAGCTGAACGGTAAGAACAAGATCCGGGCCATCAACACGTACGCCCTGCCCGTGATCAGGTACCCTGCTGGGGTAATAGGCTGGCCAAAGGAGGAGATAGAAGCCACTGACATAAAGACAAGAAAGCTCCTTACCATGCATGGAGGGTTTCACCCCAAGTCCAGCACCCTGAGGCTGTACGCTAAGAGGAAGGAAGGGGGCCGGGGACTGGTGAGTGTCAGCACCACAGTCCAGGATGAGACAACGAACATCCACGAGTACATCAGAAGGATGGCCCCAACTAACCATGTGCTCAGTGTCCTCAGGCAACAGAAACCCAAGAAAGAGGAGGCGCCATTATGGAAGGACAGGCCCCTGCACGGTATGTACCACCAACAGTGGGGGTGGCTGATATCCAGAAAATCCTACCAGTGGCTGGACAAAGCTGGACTGAAAGACAGCACAGAGGCACTAATCATGGCAGCACAAGAACAAGCTCTGAGCACAAGATCCATAGAGGCTGGGGTCTATCACACCAGGCAAGACCCCAGGTGCAGGCTGTGTAAAGATGCCCCAGAGACAATCCAGCACATAACAGCAGGGTGCAAGATGCTAGCAGGCAAGGCATACATGGAACGCCATAACCAAGTGACCGGCATAGTGTACAGGAACATCTGTGCCGAGTATAACCTGGAAGTCCCGAGGTCAAAATGGGAGATGCCCCCAAGGGTGGTGGAGAATGACCGAGCTAAGATCCTGTGGGACTTCCAGATACAGACGGACAAAATGGTGGTGGCTAACCAACCGGACATAGTGGTGGTAGACAAACAGAAGAAGACGGCCGTAGTGATCGATGTAGTGATACTGAATGACAGCAATATCAGGAAGAAGGAACACGAGAAGCTGGAGAAATACCAAGGGCTCAGAGAAGAGCTCGAGAAGAATTGGAGGGTGACCCAGAGGTAATTGGAGCGCTCGATGCAGTGACCCCCAAGCTCGGCGAGTGGCTCCAGCAGATCCCGGGAACAACATCTGAGATCTCTGTCCAGAAGAGCGCAGTCCTGGGAACAGCTAAGATACTGTACAGGACCCTCGAGCTCCCAGGCCTCTGGTAGAGGACCCGAGCTTGAAGGATAAAGACAACCCTGCACAAAAATGTGAACATAAAAGAAAATGTAGAAGAAAAAAAATCATTAAAATGGTTTTGTTTTACTTTAAAAACATTAAAACAAACCAGTTAATATAAAGAACAAATTTTAACTTCTTTTTTTTTCAACTTTAAGGTTCAGGGTACACTGAAGGTGATAATAGCTTTTCCTTTAATTCGTCACACAGGTGTGTATCTGAACTTCATGTCTGTATACTTTGTGTATTTCTGTTAAATTAGCCTCAGTGAGGCTGTATATGTATATAAGGATAGATGTCTCCATGTGTTTGTGATACGGCTTCTGAAGCCATGCAGCGCTGCAGATCAACAGGGGGTGTCAGGGCTTTGAACTCCACCCGCTCCATCTGAACTCCCCACGATTTGAATTCGAGGCACAGCGCCATCTGCAGGACAAATCAGGCACAGCAGGTTGTATTTACAAAACATATGTTTCTCATACCTGACAGCAGAAAACTTAAGAAAAATAAAGATGGCACTCGCAGGTGAACTCTTCCTGAAATCACCCCAAACTCAGCTGCACACCTTTGTGATGATATGAGGTGCAAAGTGCAACAAACCAGGAGGAAATACAAACCC